GGGGGGGTGGAGCCATTGGAGAGCGAGGAGAAAGCGGAGAAGGTAAGCACGGAACGGGGGTGATGCGCGAGACTCTTCCAACGTCAGGGCGATGCCCTCTCGATGGTAGGGCGGGGTTGAAGAATCAGGTACAGGTCGTAGCGGGAAAATATTAATAATTCGAGCAAAGCGAGAGTTCTAATCTCGCCTGAAATATACCGCTCCAGTCAAGAAAAAAAGTTTGCAAGTGTGTCTGTTCGCTTTAACTTGGTTTTAGACTACATGGCTTGATGATAGACTACAGGGGTCAGCAGATGCCCTTTTTTTTTCTGAGCACACTGTCAGCGGATTGCAGCAGAGAACACACGCACTGCGGGACTGCGGGCGACACCACAGAGCAGACAACACACGCACAGCAGACAGCGTACGCATAACAGGCGACACACACGCACAGCGGGCCACAGCATCTGGGCTCGATGCCGCTGGACTCTCTGTGGTGTGATGAGGCTAGGTATTGCTCTGTTGGGCATGTTTTTTTTTTACTGCCGCGTGCAACTGCCAGCAATGTGAGCACAGCACCACATTCGTTCTCGAAACCTAGGACGCGGATCGCCATCGCACCACTTCGAGCGTGTGCTCCATTGTGGTGTCTCTGGGCTGTTGGACATGGGTGCTGTATGCGGCGAGAGCATCGTGGCGATGTGAAATCCGGTTTGGCTTTTTGCGCCTGGCGATCGATGCGGCCCGATTGCCCGGGCCAAAAAAAACGATTTGGATTCCACGCCGTCACGAACACCTTCCCACACACAGCACCCATGCCTAACACAACTGTCACGCCCCGATATAGCGCAATGGAGCACACGCTCGAAGTGGTGCCATGACGATTGGTGCGCTAGGTGACGAGAACTGACTTGTGTCCTGCTGTTTCGCTGGCAGTTGGAAAAACACCGAACAAAATAAGAGGGAACAGGGGGTTCAGCACTAGTATGCGCCGGGCATTTATGACCACGAAAGCGGGATGTGGACGGGGGGGAGGGGGTAACCGGTAGGTGAAAGTTAACGTTAACACAGCTCTCACACCAGCACAGCAGGGAGGCGTAGTTTCAGGTGTGTGGTGTTTGCACTCTGTTTCCGCCCGTGGACGCACACGTCTGACGACAGTTACACCTATCAGCTGTCGCTCGTTGTAGCGACAGCTACAATAAATAGTATATTTTCAGAACACAGCCCTTACATGCAATACGCGTACTGCTTCGCGTTTGTTTTTTTAGCCTCGGTCCATCCTCACAACTTCATGGCCGCCCTTGTCACGTCGACACCTCCACACGCCCCCCGCTGCCTCAATGCCTCAATACACCAAGAAACCCCACCATAAACACCCGCGTTTTCCTTTCCTGGATCCCGAGAAGAAGGACGCCCGTCCTTACTCGGTGAAACCACGGGGGCCCCCCGCCAGCGCGTTTTTACGAGAGGCGGCGAGGCGGGCGGAGGAGGCGAAGGAGGCCGCGAAGGTGGACCCCTGGCAGAGCGACGGGGAAGAGGAGGAGGAGAGGGACGCCGCCGAGGAGGAGGAGGGCGACCCTCTCCGCGGCGAGAGGATGCACGCGTGGGTGAGTATGTTTATGGTGGTGGGTGGTTGTTGATGGGGGGGGGGGGGGGGGGGGGGGCCCCCGGGGGGGGGGGGCCCCCCCCCCCCCCCCCCCCCCGGCCCCCCTTT